TAGCTCACTTTTATGTGGTGGAGAAGTATGTTAATGAAAGGCTTTCTGCTGCTCAGCCTGAAATGATAAAAGGGGAGGGGGGAGAGAGAGAATAAATGAGAGGGATTTCTTGCCCAAGAAACATATTTTACATATTAAAATGTGCCTCTGATCTCAGAATAAGTATTTGTTGCCAAAGCCAGCTCCAAAGGAGTCTTGAATCAGCCTCACGTTGATATGCTGCAAGTGACTCAAAAAATCATGCAACTCATTTAAGCGATATTGCTTTAAGTAAGGTTAGCTTGAGAAAGGTTGAAACCAGAAGCAGATTCACATGGAGCTGATTCTGAAAAGGGATTTGCGAACGTTAACAAGCCTTCTTTTAGTGGGGAGAAGAGCCTTTAGAATACGATCTCAGCAGATGCAGGTAGGGCTAAGGCTGCAGCCTGGTTTTCTAAGGTCATTATGAAACACAACCTGTATAATCCCAAATGACTTGGAATTTGATTTCTCTTTGCTTTCAAAGTGATTGGAAAAATGGCCGCTAAAACTTTATTTGTGTTGGAACTTGAAAACAGGTTTGTTTGTTTGTTCAAACACTATTAAGTTAGGACAAAGCATTTTCGAAAGCCCCCAAACCACACTTCAAGTGAAGATCAGGCAAATCTATGAATGTTGGGAAAGTAGGAAGCTGGGTTGATCAAATTCTCAAGAGGCTCCTAATCCTTTAATTGATTGAGGCTAGAAATGGAATACACCCAGTAGTTCCCTGTGCTTGTTATACATTTCTAAGGCAACTGAATCTGCCCATTCTCAGGGATAGGTAAAGGTAAAGGTAAGACGGCTATGGGGTTGCGGTGCTCATCTTGCTTTCAGGCCAAGGGAGCCGGCGTTTGTCCATAGACAGCTTTCCAGGTCATGTGGCCAGCATGACTAAACCGCTTCTGGCGCAACAGAACACCACGATGGAAGCCACAGCGCACAGAAACACCATTTACCATTTACCTCAGGGACAGGATACTGGGTTGGGTGGGCCTTTGAAGTGATGCGAATTTAACAAGAGCCTTACGACAGCAGGCTATAACCTCCTCCAGACCAGCATCTTGTTCTTGCAGTAGCCAGTCAGATGCCTATGGAAAGCTCACAAGCAGATCCTGAGGGCAACATCTCAACTGCGGTTTCAGCAACTGTATTCAGAGGCTTACCATTGATTCTGAAGGTAGTGCATAGCCATTCTGACAAACAGCCATTGCTGGCTTTATCCACCATGAATTTGTCTAAACTCTTTTCACGTTCCTGGCCATCGCTACACCTTGTCGGTCAGGGATTGGACTCAAGAGGGCGAGATGGATGAGGAATGGTAGAGATCACCCCCCTATCTCCTGACGCTGCAGGAGAAGAAGAATGCAGCATTGATTTACAGCAGGGGTTTGAGGGGTTATTATTATTAATAATAATAGTAATAATAATAATAATACTAATTTATTTGTACCCCGCCCATCTGGCTGGGTTTCCCCAGCCACTCTGGGCGGCTCCCAACAGAGATTAAAAATACATTAAAATGTCACACATTCAAAACTTCCCTGAACAGGGCTGCCTTCAGATGTCTTGTAAATGTCAGGTAGTTGTTTATCTCTTTGACATCTGATGGGAGGGCGTTCCACAGGGCGGGTGCCACCACCGAGAAGGCCCTCTGCCTGTTCCCTGTAACTTTGCTTCTCACAGTGAGGGAACTGCCAGAAGGCCCTCGGAGCTGGACCTCAGCATCCGGGCAGATGCTCCTTCAGGTATACTGGGCTGAGGCCGTTTAGGTTTGAGGAAAGTCACAGCTCAGAGACAGATGAGCAGCAGAGTTGGGAAGAGGGGAGACAGAGGCAGGGCAGTCAACTGATACGTTGTCACTGGAGAGTATTTCTGATTCCCCTTCTCCCAGAACTCGACTTTCATAAAGGGAGCAGGAATAACGGCATCAGAGACTTTGGGCCACAAGCAGCCACCATAAAGGGAGATGCTGTTGCTAGGAAAGGAGGAGGAGGAGCCCAGTTTGGAGCAACGCCATTGTTAATTCTTGTTGTGTTCTTTTGTCTCTCGCTATTAGGATCGAATAAAACTCATTAAAAAGGACCCTGCCTTGTTTTCTCTGCTCTTTCTGCAACCGGGGGAGGAATAGCTTTTCCGAAGCCTTGACAGAGCCTTGACAGTGTCGTGGGGAATTTCATAAGTTTAACTATGTACTATGCACAGAGAAGCTGCTTTTGTAGCACAAAAAGAACTTCTATGAAATGAGAGCCAAACCCACAGTAGGGCAGATGAAAAGGATGTCTAGCTGTGAATAAGACCACAGTGCTCCAAATATTTACCAGAGTATCAGTGCAATTCTGTGCAAGTTTACTCAGATGTATATCTCATTGCCCAAAAGGTTTACTCCCAAGTAAATGTGCACAGGATTGCAGCTTAAGGCTGGGTCTTACCCCCAGCCATCAACACATCTGTAGGCTAGATCCCATAACAATATTTTTCAAGGCTATTGGTATAGTGCATTGGAGTTAATTGAATAACACAGAAGTCAACTGACATGCATCACATGATTGTTTCATTGGCCAGCACCACTTGGAGCTGTTTGTTTTGTTGGTACAAAGCTGTGTTTTGAATGCTGAGGCAAACGTCCCATTCTCTTCTCACCAAAGTGTTCTTCCCATCACTGCAGCTGCTCATTTTTGCACCTCTTTCAATAAGGTCTTCCTGAATCCTGTGGCAAAAAATGAAGCTGCCATATGTTTCCAAACACAGAGCACGAATCAAAGACTTTGCAAATATAATGAGGGGCGGTGTGGGGGAAAAAAAAGTTCAAATCAAGGACACCAGTGACAATGAGAGATTCTTGCCAGATTTGAATTATTGCCCAAACTAACAACATTCTGATACATTGCAATACTCTAATTGTTATTCTTGTGTGGTCCATTTAACTTTAATTGTATTATTTAATTTTCCGAAAGCGGATAGACTAAACAACACCGTGGAGATAACACGCTGAGTCATGATCTCCCACTTGCCTCTTTTTAACAAAGGTTTTTATGTGTAATGCTTTGTAGCCCAATGGATCATTAAAAGCCATTTTTTGACTCTCGCCATCATTTACATGCAATGTTAGCTCTGTCTGCATGCTTTTATGCTTCCAATCAGGCATCTCTGATGGTCAGGTAAGGATTTTATGTAATTTACAGCAGTGGCTGCAACAAAATCCCTGATCCTACTCTATTCTTGCTTAAGGAAGAGCAGTCCAAGTTAGATAAGCTTCTAGAAAAGACTGTTAATACCTCCTCCATGTCCCATGGAAGTGACCTGAAAGAAAGAACAAGGGTTGTTGGATTAAAATGAGAACCCTAGAAGTATCCAGTGATACAATACCCATCCATATAACTATCTTGGAAAATTCTAGGCTCATGTCAAAGTCATGTTTCAGTCTGTCATCTTGATTCAAAACAGTACCTGCTGTCTAAATGTCAACAAAGACTCTCACCTCCATCTCAGGAACCCTCATGCTGAATTTGGCAATGATATAGTAAGAGGTCAAAAATGGACAAAGCCATCCCAAATGATGTTTTGGTCTGGTAACTTGCTTTAAAATGGCTCCTGGCATCCCGATGGGGACAAAGTCTGCTGATCCCCACCTTGAGAACCCTTATGTCAAGTTGTTGTTGTTGTTGTTATTACGCGCGGGTTGTGATTTGCCTCTTCTGCACATGTGCGTGATGTCATTTTGCGCTTCTGTGCATGCGCGAGCACGAGCGGCGAAACCAGGAAGTAATCCTTTCTGGTACTTCCGGGTCACTGCGGGATGTAACCTGAAAGAACGTAACATGAAGCGGACGTAACATGAGGTATGACTGTACCGCCCTATAACCGAAGGTCTCAGGGTGGTACATATAAAATATAAAATACATACCGTAAAGTCAAAACAAAACCAACAACCCAATAAACCCCCCCGAAAAGAGCCAGCATTTTTAAACAGTATAGGATGTAGATCGAGTCAGGCAAAGGCCTGGTTGAAAAGGAATGTTTTTGCCTGGTGCCTAAAGGTATATAGTGAAGGCGCCAGGTGAACTTCCCTGGGGGGGAGCATTCCACAGACGGGAAGCCACTGCAGAGAAGGTCCGTTCTCATGATGCCACCCTCATGTTTGGTGCAGATGTCTTGAGAGGAGGCCAAACCTATGTCAAAAAAGGGTGAGGTCATGCCAAAGTCATACTTCAGGATGCTATCTTGACTTGAAATGGTGTCTATATCTATATCTATATCTATATCTATATCTATATCTATATCTATATAGACCCCATTCCCACTCCAGGAATCATTGTACTGAGTTTGTGACTAGGATCTTGAGAGGCAGCCAAAACTATGACCAAAATTGGTCAAAGTGACATTTAGACCCACCATCTTGATTCAAAATGGAACCCAGCAGTGGTGTAGCATGTGGGCGGGGGGGGGGGGGAAGCATAGGGGTGGTTGTCCTGGCTGCAAAAATGTTAGGGGCGCAAAATTTCAACACCTAGTGCTGGCTCAATACAGCTGTGTACTTCCGTTGCTGGACTCAGTTGAAAATGACTTCTCCATGCGAACCAGGAAGTGACCTCTCCAGACAATGGACCGACTCTTCTTTTCTTATCTCTGCAGCTGCAATCTCTCTATTCCACCCGTTTTGCTTTCCTCAGACCGCTCCATGTGACCTCGGGCGCCAGCAGCCCATGCTACGTCACTGGAACCCAGTGTGAAATGCCGATGAAGCGTGCTGCCCCCACCTCAAGCTTGTATCAAATTTGGCAGCAATATCTTGAAAGGTATAGAGAAAAAACAAAGAGACAGACAAACCACTTCCCCAAATGTATAGTAGATGTTGGACATGAATACTTTAAAATCAGTTGCTCAGTCAGTTTTCCAAAGTAACATAAACTCAGAAATCTCTTCATCCTGGTTTCCTTGCTGAGCAACTGGGTGCTCCTGGAGAGCAACGGGAACATTTTAATGTACCGTATTTTTTGCTCTATAAGACTCACTTTTTCCCTCCTAAAAAGTAAGGGGAAATGTGTGTGCGTCTTATGGAGCGAATGCAGGCTGCACAGCTATCCCAGAAGCCAGAACAGCAAGAGAGATCGCTGCTTTCGCTGCGCAGCGATCCCTCTTGTTGTTCTGGCTTCTGAGATTCAGAATATTTTTTTTTCTTGTTTTCCTCCTCCAAAAACAAGGTGCGTCTTATGGTCTGGTGCGTCTTATAGAGCGAAAAATACGGTAAGCGTTTTAATATATCTTGCCATTCGTTGGTAGATCTTCTAGTTGAGGTGGCGGCGTACACATTCTGCAGTAAACCCACTTAGGTGTAAAACTGCCAATGACAAATGAAAGGACATCCTTTTTGCCCCACTCCCATGGTGTACTAATGGGTGTTGGGATTTATAAGCTGTACCAGATCCAATAAACCTGTGTTATAGCCTTTTAAAGATTGTTATATAGAACATGCCTTGTAAACTGCCTATTGTTTCATAATTTATTTGCCCCAACTTGGCTTAACCGGATCATTAGCAGGGCAGTAAAAGCGCTATCGAATAAACTTCATTGAATATGGAAACTAATTTGGGTCCGTATTATGATAACTTCTGCAGAAGGAAACAATTACCTTGTGATTTGCCGCTGTGGCTCTGAGTGCAATATCTTTCTCGTTCACTTAGATGCAACATCACTTGTAGATTTTTTAAAAAAAACTTTTTAAAATGCCTTTGTATAGTGCTATCTCCATAGGGCTGGGTTGATCGCCATCCCATATGTCCGCTATGGCTACAGATGCTTGTAAATATACAGGGCTGCTTTAAAAAGCAAACTGTTTTGCATACATAGCATTATCCTTCATTGGTGGCAAGCTTGGAATACATCTGAGGGCTTTTATCTCCCCACTCCTGGCAAATCTGCCTGCCAGCTATTGCTATATTTATCTATTTACATGTGCTAACTACACCATACACTGCTTCCTTCTGCATTCTTTGCGTATGGTCAGTGTAAACTAAAGATAACTTCTTATCCTTGTTTTCCAGAGCATTCTGCGTTTATGTTTTACAACACCGAATCAAAAACATTTCAAAATCCTCTAGTCAGAAAATACACATTGGGGCATTTATTGTGAAATTGCTAAGGTAAACGTAAAGGGTCCAGTCGTGGCTGACTCTGGGGTTGTGGCGCTCATCTCGCTTTATTGGCCGAGGGAGCCGGCGTACAGCTTCCGGGTCATGTGGCCAGCATGACTAAGCCGCTTCTGCTGAACCAGAGCAGCGCACGGAAACGCCGTTTACCTTCCTGCCAGAGTGGTACCTATTTATCTACTTGCACTTTGATGTGCTTTCGGACTGCTAGGTTGGCAGGAGCAGGGACCGAGCAACGGGAGCTCACCCCGTTGAGGGGATTCGAACTGCCGACCTTCTGATCGGCAAGTCCTAGGTTCTCTGGTTTAACCCACAGCGCCACCCACGTCCCTCGTGAAATTGCTATGCTGCCTTTATTTGCAGGTTAGCCCGTGCATTCCCTACTTTGGTAGGAGTACAGTCGTACCTTGGAAGTTGAACGGAATCTGTTCCAGAAGTCCATTTGACTTCCAAAATGTTCAGAAACCAAAGCACGGCTTCTGGTTGGCTGCAGGAAGCTCCTGCAGCCAATCGGAAGCCACGGAAGCCCCGTCGGACATTTGGCTTCCAAAAATAGTTCACAAACCAGAACAGTCACTTCTGGGTTTGTGGCATTCGGGAGCCAAAATGTCCGAGTACCAAGGCGTTCGGGACCCAAGGCATGACAAATTGCATTATTCTGAAATTTTATGTCAATATTGGTTCTCTGGGGTCTGAATAGAGATGTGCCATGGTCGCCGACCCAACAAAATTGCATGAATTATGCAGCCTCCCCTTGGCTAATGGCTAGGGATGAGGAGAAATTTGGTTCAGTTTGTTTTTAAAGGCCAGTGAACCTAATTTGCACCTTCCGAAACAATATGCAAAATGAGACACATCCTTTGAAATTTGTACTTCTCTGAATCTTACGACACAGTTCTCCAGCCAATTAATGTTTACAAAAATGCATATACTGTGTTAAAATGTGCAAGGAGATGCATATATTAGTGACAATAACATCAGTTCAAAGTGTTGGTGCTGACCTTTAAAGCCCTAAATGGCCTCGGCCCAATATACCTGAAGGAGCATCTCCACCCCCATCGTTCTATCCGGACACTGAGGTCCAGCGCCGAGGGCCTTCTGGCAGTTCCCTCGCTGCAAGAAGTGAGGTTGCAGAGAACCAGACAGAGGGCCTTTTTGGTAGTGGCGCCCGCCCTGTGGAACACCCTCCCATCAGATGTCAAGGAAATAAGCAGCTATCCTATTTTTAAAAGATATCTGGAGGCAGCCCTGTTTAGGGAAGTTTTTAATATTTAATGCTGAATTGTTTTTAACACTTGATTGGGAGTGTTATAAATGCATTATATGAGTGGAAATGGCTGTGCAAACAAAATTATGCGTATTAGGCAAAAACCTGCATAAAATATATTGTTTATATCAAAGAAATGCACACATCAGCACACAAAGATGCTGATGAATCTTCATTAGGACTATCTATCTATCATCTATCTATCTATCTATCTATCTATCTATCTATCTATCTATCATCTATCTATCTATCATCTATCTATCTATCTATCTATCATCTATCTATCTATCATCTCTCTCTCTCTCTCTCTCTCTCTCTCTCTCTCTCTCTCTATCTATCATCTATCTATCTATCTATCTATCTATCTATCTATCTATCATCTCTATCATCTATCTATCATCTATTTATTTATCTATCTGTCTATCTGAAGGCAGCCCTGTTTAGGGAAGCTTTTAATGTTTGATGGACTACTGTATTTTAATATTTTGTTGGAAGCCGCCCAGAGTGGCTGGGGAAACCCAGCCAGATGGGCGGGTATAAATAACAAATTATTATTATTATTATTATTATCATCAGCTGTCAGCTGTCGGCTGTCAGCTATCTATACTGCGCATATATGGCAAACTTATTTGGAAATACAGACAACTGAACCTAAGCCTGGAAAGAGAAGAAACTTAACTTGACATGTTCACCCTTCCCCTACTGGTGGCAGCAGAGGCCAGTATGTGTTTCTCCTTTGGATCCTGCTGTCCTAGAGCAATATATGTCCCGTAAGTCACCTTTCTTCCACGAAGTTCAAGACTGCATCCACAGGGCTCCCCCCTAACAGCCTCTCCATCCAGACCTGTATAGCTTCCACAAGGTACCCGTATCATGTGAACCACCTCTGTCAGATTGCCAATGGCAGAAGTGGAACACCAAACGTAAGTGCCAGTTGGAACTCAGTAGCCTCTAATATCCTGGTGGGAGAACGGAACTTGCATTTCAGCATCCTTTCCAATATGGAATGTGTTCCCTTAGCATCCACAAGCATCTTTCATCTGCTGAAACCCCATCTTCCTCCCATGCCTGGAAAGGATGAAAAGCTAAGAAGGCCCCAGGGAGTCTTACTTCAGCCCCCAACTGGAAATTTGGTTGCTAAATGCCATAGGATATGACTGGCTCCAAATCTTTCCTCCAGACTGCAGGAGGGAGTGAAGATATAATCAGAGCTGTCAGATCCTTATAGCCTATTACTCATATCGGGAGAGGGGAACTTTTAAAATAAACGAATAAACAAAGTTCCAAACATTATTCACCCCCTCAGCTCTCACATGTTGGCTACTAAAACTGCAATGGAGGATTATGTGTCATGAATATGGACAGAGTTAGTGTTCATAACAAATTGCTTCCTCATAGCCCACCTGTTGTTCTCTGTAAATCCCGAAAGCAGAGAAAATTTGGTCTCTTAAAAAGTTGTATTTTGGAAGGTAACAGGGAGTGTAAATGAAAGACTTCAGATTTCCTGTCCTTAAATAGGAACCTTCTGAATTATTATATAATAAATTATTCTATATTTATATTTATATATTATATAAATTATTATATAATGGTAAGGCTTTTAAGAAATCAGCAAGAGAGGCTTTAAGGCAAGTGTGCCTCAATAGAAAAAGCTTGACACCATGCAAGGAGTCTATGACAGCCTGGACACTTAATAAATAATCCTCCAAATGTTGGGTTTAAAGAGTACATTGGGCCCATTTTACAGCGGAAACTTTCCATGCTGACCTGTATGTAATGGAAAACAATATGTTTGGAAAGAAGAAGCGGAAAACTTTGCCTCTGTTTTCTTCTGAATTGTGTCGAGATTTATGCTCAAGATCAAGCATTGTAGTGTGCAGAGATGTCAGCTTGCATACAATATGTCCCACCCCACATAATTAATCACATGACATGGCACACTCACACCATTTGAATGGCAATGTCCATCAACTTTGGGGGAACCCAACCTCTTCGAATACTTTTTTGGGAGGGCTGAAGGGGAGCCCCTAGGGTAGAGCTGTGGGTCTGTTCACATTACGGCTTACTCTGCATCCAGTGAGCTTCCCACTGCTAATATTTGAAGCCACATTCTCATGGCGTTAGCCAAAATCCATATTGATCCTGTAGTCTTTTTCTTGTATCGAAATAAAATTGGATCCAGCTAATCTTTACATTTGCAGCCTATCCTCTGCGTGTTTACCCAGTCCCGCTGAAGGAATGAAACTGTTCAGCCATTTTGTTCTTCATCCCTCGCTGTAAAGTGATTGCTTACTGTTTAGAGGTGGCTCCCGCTAGGAGGTTTAAAAGTTCACCCAGGAAATTGAAACTCAACATTTCTGAGATGGCGAAGAGTCTTCTTTAGCCCAAGTGATGGCTATTGTGTAGTAGTGGAATGATCTGAATGCGAGGCGAAAAGGTTGCTTGGAAACGGCTCAGGAAATAGCCTGACGCTAACTCTGTCCAGGAAAGGATAGGCCCACAAAACACCAAGATACCTCCCAGGTAGAGATGAGCAAATCTCTCCCTTTTCAGTTTCTCATTTTTCTGCTCTTTCTTCATTTGTGATTTTTTAAACAAAAAGTCCCCCGTGTCTAATACACACATTTTTGGCAAAGTAATATTCCCTCATGGAGAACATTTTTGAAAACTATTTTCACCATTATTATTATTATTATTATAATTTCTATAATGCCCTTCATCTGAGGATCACAGGACACAAAAACATATAACATATAACATATACAGTGGTGCCCCGCAAGACGAATGCCTCGCAAGACGGAAAACCTGCTAGACGAAAGGGTTTTCCGTTTTTCGATGCGCTTCGCAGGACGAATTTCCCTATGGGCTTGCTTCGCAAGACGAAAATGTCTTGCGAGTCTTGAGATTTTTTTTCGCTTCCCCCCCTTTTTCTAAGCCGCTAAGCTGCTAATAGCCTTTTAGCAGGTAATCCGCTAATCCGCTAAGCCTTTAATAGCCGCTAAACCGCTAATAGCGCTAATCCGCTAAGTCGCTAATAGGGTTGCTTCGCAAGACGAAAAAACCGCTAGACGAAGAGACTCGCGGAACGGATTAATTTCGTCTTGCGAGGCACCACTGTAACATAAGAACAGAGACAATACCACCCCCGCCCCCATATGCAGAAAAAATACAAAACTCTTCACGATATTGCGTGTCGTCCTTGTGCAGGGGCCCTGTGGATCTTCTCTGGATCATTACAGTTTTACAATATGTTCTTTTGTAGAAAGGATATTCATCTGTTATGCACACGTTACTCTTGTATGTGCCTTTTTAGTACTCTTTACATGACTGGCAAACTGCCTTGCGAAATTCAGAGAAGTGCAAATTGCTAAGGGTGGACTTCGTTTCAGTTTGCATGGTATTCTCAGAAAGTGCAAATGAGTTATGTTTGTCTTGAAACATCAGCTGAATCAAATGTTTCCCCACATCTCTACTCCCAGAAGGGCAGTGTTGCATTCGTCACAAATGCCTGGTAGCTTGGCCTAACTCTCCTCATCATCCAGCTGGTCCACAGGGATCTTCCTCCCTACTTCCTCCGCTGGGCCTATCTGTTCCTGATCAGATCCAAGCAACTTGTTGTTGTTGTTTAGTCATTTAGTCGTGTCCGACTCTTCGTGACCCCATGGACCAGAGCACGCCAGGTGCTCCTGTCTTCCACTGCCTCCCACAGTTTGGTCAAACTCATGCTGGTAACTTTGAGAACACTGTCCAACCATCTCATCCTCTGTCATCCCCTTCTCCTTGTGCCCTCAATCTTTCCCAACACCAGGGTCTTTTCCAGGGAGTCTTCTCTTCTCATGAGGTGGCCAAAGTATTGAAGCCTCAACTTCCGGATCTGTCCTTCCAGTGAGCACTCAGGGCTGATTTCCTTCAGAATAGATAGGTTTGATCTTCTTGCAGTCCATGGGACTCTCAGGAGTCTCCTCCAGCACCATAATTCAAAAGCATCAATTCTTCGGCGAACAGCCTTCTTTATGGTCCAGCTCTCACTTCCATTCATCACTACTGGGAAAACCATAGCAGCTTATTAGCTCCTCGCTAAATGTGTTACCACGGACGACTGTCTCCAGAAACGGCAGTCTCTTCACATGAGACCTTGTCTTGTTTTCATCATGGGGTTTTGCAGTGTTTATTTCTGAAGTGTGGGCAAAGCTTGTTCTTAGTGGCTTGGGTAACTTCAAACCTCATCCCTCTCCAATTTCCATATGCAATCTTATATGTATAAAATGCATTTATATCCGAGCTTTTTCCACTAAGGAGCTCAAGGTTGTTCACATGGTTCCATACCTTCCAACATTTCCCTGATGAAAATAGGGACATCCTATTCAACAACATTTATACAATATTTATACCCTACCCATCTGACTGGGTTGCCACAGCCACTCTGGGTGGCTTCCAACATACATAAAAACACAATAAAACATTAAACATTTTAAAAACGTCCCCTATACAGGGCGGGCTGCATTCAGCCCCACTCACCTCACAGAGTGTTTGTTGTGGGGGAAGAAGGGAAAGGAGATTGTTAGCCGCTTTGAGACTCCTGAAGGGGAGTGAAAGGCGGGATATCAAATCCAAACGCTTCTTCTTCTTCTTCTAAGAAAAAGCAGGACATTCCGGGATCAAATAAGAAACTGGAATGGTGTCTCTAAATCAGGGATGTCCCTGGAAAATAGGGACACTTTGAGGTGTCCCATACCCTCCAACATTTCTCTGATAGGGACATCCTAAGGCAGCCTTTCTCAATCTGTGGGTCCCCAGATGTTGTTGAACTACAACTCCCATCATCCCCAGCTAGCAAGGCCAGAGCTCAGGGATGATGGCAGTTGTAGTCCAACAACATCTGGGGACCCACAGGTTGAGAACCATTGTCCTAAGGAAAAGCAGGACATTCTGGGATCGAGTCAGAAACTGGGGTGGCTTCTGTAATCTGGGACTGTCCCTGGAAAATAGGGACCCGTGGAGGGTCTGTGGTTTTCCCCTTCCTCCTTTAATCCTCTGTGAAATAGTTTAGGCTGAGAGGCAGTGATTGGCTCAAGGTCAGTCTGTGGGCTTCATCAATGAGTGGTGATTTGAACTCTGGTCCTAGTCCAGAACTCTAACCACTGCACCACACAAAAATATGCCAGGTGTTTGTTTTTTTGGGGTTAGTTTCCTCTAGCTTTGTCCTGGATTTTTAAATCCTTTCTGGCTTCATAACCTTAGAAATTTCCTTTGATTTTCATTACTGCGATCTCCCCTGCCCCTTCTCCTTGCTTTTCTTTTCCTCAGTTTTAAGGATGAGATGGTGGCGGAGAAGCCAAATGGGCTCTTATTCATGGTACCAAAATAGATGTAGTGTTAAAATCTTTGGGCCAAGAAGGCAGCTTTCATCCAATAATACCCTTGTCAGGGGCAGGACTGAGGATATGCAGTTTTCCTTCCATCCTGCCAAGTTTCCCTCAGGAAGAAGCCAAGCATGCTGACACAGGGCAGAAGCTTGACCTGTGGAGCACAATGCCAAGCGATGCCTGCAATGGGAATTGGCGTTGAGGTTGGGGGTGTGAGGGAAAAAAAGCTGTCTGAGACCCTTTCGCCTTTCTACAGCATTTTTTCAGGCCTCTCCCTCCTTCTCAAAGATGCAGAGAGACTTAATTTGCAAATTCCGGGACGCTCAAACATGTCCCGCAGACCATTAAACGATATTATAGTTTTGCAACTTAAAAAAAAAGCACTCCGCCCGTCCAAACCACATTTGTTTAATGAGCAAAAGGCCCGTCTCTTGCGATAAATCCACATGGCAGGCAAATCACATGGTGTCAGGCATCGTTATATATGATGATTTGCTGATCAAAACCCAGAAGAGAAGATTTATTGTTCAGATTTACTTTCGGTACGGTGCATGTGCGCGACATTAACCGAAAAGATGGGCTGGAAACAATATAAAAACATCACAAGAGCAAAAACACATTATCGGATTAACGATACAAAACCGCCTCCTGTATTGGTTATTTTATAACCTCTGCTCGTGTGGGAGATTTTCTGCGTCCTTTTTAAGCGACTTTATGTATAAATCAATCGCTGCAATAACAGGAGAACAATGGTAGCCATTCTCTTAAATAAAAATAAAGGTGTTCAGTTTCATCTTCCCGAGTGGAGGGATTTCGGAGCAAAACCCTCTGGGATGCTTTCCTTTTGTAGGAGACCTGCACTTTTACTGTGAACAGTTACCGTGGCCAACACACGGCTGTCTCCAAACCAAACCCTGGTGAATTGGGTGGGGGAGAACGAATCTTCAAAGATGTATTCTGAAAGAGCACTTTAAACCTGTGTGCATTTAACACAAGAGGGAGTGATGAAGGTTAGAGGCAGGAAAATGGCGTGCCTGTCAGGAGCTCATCCTACACTTGAGTAGGACCCTGGTAGAGACACATGCCCGACTGGCATGTTCTTTCCCTCAAAAGCTTTCTTCAGCCTGAACATCACAGCGACCGATGCCAACAGACATCGGCACACTTAGGGATCCGCAGAGTCTGCGCAGTTCGCGTGACAGACCTCAGCATTTTGGCCAATCTACTTTATTTACATATAAACACACACAGAGCACTGCAACATGGCTCCCTCTCTCTCTAGCATCAGACAGCAAAGTGTATGAACAAAGGACAATAGTCCCACTTCACGGAACACAGTAACACAAACATCCTGTCTCCGTCACTTCCCACTCTGTGGAGTCAAAACATATACCGTCATGGGATAGACAACAATCCCATGACTGCAACCACGGAGCAGGAATTCTAACAGTGCCTTCTGGAATCTGTCATCTTATGCAACCGCCTCACAAGAAGGCCAGCACCAGGTGTGTGCATTCCTTTCTGGATCATGGCCAGCAGCTGTTGGGAATTCCATTCCTCCCGTGCTGCAGTTGTGTGGGATTGTTACATGTCACATGTCTGTTTACATTCCAGCACTGATTACACTGGTCAACAACAAATTTGTTGTCTGCGTTTTTTTCAGCTGATTTAGGATGAATCTGATGCGCTGAATCCAAAAATCACATTGGTTTTGCTCAATCAGGTCAAGTTTTTGAGCTATGGCCACATGTCTTTTTTTACGTTTTTGTTCACATGTATGCTTGTGTGGAGCATTTTAGAAGAAGTTGGTGGGGGTAAAATGCCTTGTCAAATAATTGTTTTGATTGGAAATGATTATTTTAATGACAAGAAGAATTCAGGTCTGATAGTTCTGGGTGATTATGTCGAAAAGGGATCAGTTTGAAGTCATAAAACCTCGAAATCTTCTATAAATTGGTCCAGCAAAGCATAAAGTTGGGGGATCAAAACTAAGTTAATGGGGCAGCCGCCCCACGAAGTATCCTGATCTTCAATCAGCACGTCGTCCTGTAGCTCATTGTGATGAAATTCCAGCGCCTATCTTCGGAGAACTTCCTGACATTAGTGACGAAGATGCCTCCAGTGTTGAAGGACATGAAGAAGAAGAAGTGGTTCTTGAAGATGATGCTCCACATCCATTATCCCAAAAGGAGTTGAATGATCTAGTTCGCGACCTCAGCTTGTCAAAGGACTCTGCCGAACTGTTGGCATCCAGACTGAAGGGAAAAAACCTCCTCTCTGACAGTGCTCGCATCAGCTTCTTGCACAACAGGCATCAAGAGTACCTCCGTTTTTTCTCGGAAGAGAAGGACTTGGTGTACTGTGCAGATATTGTGCAGCTTCTGCTCAAGCTTGGAGTGCCACAGTACGAACCCAAAGATTGGAGACTGTTCATTGACAGCAGCAAGCGATCACTGAAATGTGTTCTGCTACACAACGGCAACCAGTTTGCCTCTATACCCCTGGCTCACTCAAGTACACCGAAGGAGAACTATGAAGCGGTGAAGTATGTGCTGGAGAAAATTGGTTATGATCAGCATAAGTGGTTTATTTGTGTTGACCTGAAGATGGTGAACTTTTTGTTGGGACAACAGTCTGGCTTCACCAAGTACCCATGTTTTCTGTGCATGTGGGATAGTAGGGACCGTGCTCAGCATTACACGAAGAAGGACTGGCCTGTGCGGGAGGCATTGGTGCCTTGCAAAGAAAGGAACGTCATCAACGACCCTCTGGTGGACAGAGGCAGAATACTCTTCCCACCGCTGCACATCAAGCTCGGCTTAATCAAGCAGTTCACCAAGGCTCTGGACAAGGATGGTGACTGCTTCACTTACTTGTGCCAGGCTTTTCCAGGATTGAC